GTCCTTTGTTTCTTATAACAGTCTTTAAATTCTGTTTTGTCTGATATGAGATTGCTGCTCCAGCTTTCTTTTGATTTCCATTTGCATGGAATACCTTTTTCCACCTCATCACTTTTAGTCTGTATGTGTCCCTAGATCTCAAATGGATCTGTTGGAGACAGCATATATATAGGTCTTGTTTTTGTATACATTCAGCCAGTCTGTGTGTTTTGGTTGGAGCATTTAATCCATTAACATTTAAGGTAATTATTGGTATGTGTGTTCACTGTGTTGGATTTGTTTTTGTAGGTCTTTTTGCTCCCTTCTTTTATTCTCCTTTTTTGTGATTTGATGATTAATTTTAGTGTTGTGTTTGGAATCCTTTTTGATTTTTGTGTGTGTATCTATTGTGGATTTTTGATTTGCTGTTACCATGAGGTTTTGATATAGTAGTTTATATATAAATAAGATTGATTTCAGTTGCTGGTCCTTTCCAGTACCCTGCTTTTGTGCTCTCCTCATCTTACGATTATGATGTCATATTTGTGTGAGTATTTCCTACCTTTACTGTATGTTTGCCTTTACTGGTGAGTGCTTCCATTTGTAATTTTCTTTTTTCTAATTTGTGTCCTTTTCCACCTAGGGATTTTCCTTCAGCATTTGTTGCACAGCTGGTCTCCTAGTGTTGAATTCTCTTAGGTTTTGCTTGTCTAGTAAGCTTTTGATCTCTCCATCAAATCTGAATGAGAGTCTTGCTGGGTAGAGTATTCCTGGTTGTAGGTTCTTCCCTTTCATCTCTTTAAATATATTTTGCCACTCCCTCTGGCCTGTTGAGCCTCTGATGAAAAATCAGCTGATAATCTTACGGAGATTCCCTTGTATGTTATTTGTTGCTTGTCTCTTTTAATATTTTCTCTTTGTTTTTATTATTTGTTAGTTTGATTACTATTTCGTTTTGGCATGTTCCTTCTTCAGTTTACCCTGCATGAGGCTTTCTGTACTTCTGGACTTGGGTGACTGTGCTGGGACACCTCAGGCCAAATGACCAACAGGGCAGTAACACAGCCTCACCCATCAGCAGACAGGCTGCATAAAATCTTACCAAGCCTACAGCTGCCTGTTAAACACACCCTTTGACACAGCACTGTCCACCAGAGGTACATGGTCCAGCTCTACCCTCCAGTGGGCAAGAAACCCTCCCTCCCACCAGGAAGTCTGCACAAGCTTCTTAGATCAGCCTCATCCACCAGTGAGCAGATAGCAGAAGCAATCATAACTATAACCCTGCAGCTGGTGGAATGGAAACAGCAATCACATAAAGGCAGACAAAATGAGATGGCAGGAGAGTATGTCCCAGACAAAGGAACAAGATAAAACTATAAAAAAAAAAACAACTAAGTGAAATGGAGATAGGCACTCTAACTGAGAAAGAATTCAGAGTAATGAGAGTAAAGATGATCCAACATCTCAAAAAATAATAAGAGGCACAGACCAAAAAGATACAGGAAATTTTTAAAAAGAGCTAGAAGATCTAAAAAACAGAGATGAACAACACAACAACTGAAAAGAAAAACACAATAGAAGGAATCAGTAGCAGAGTAAATGAGGCAGAAAAACAGGTAAATAAATAAGTTGGAAAACAGAATATTGGAAATCACTGCTGTGGAACAGAAAACAGAAAAAAAAGAAAAGAAATGATAACAGTATCAGACACCTCTGGGACAACATTAAACACACTGCCATTTGCATCAGGGTCCTAAAAAGGACCTGAAAAAATATTTGAAGAGATAACAGCTGAAAATTCCCCTAACATGGGAAAGGAGACAGTCACCTTATTGGCCATTGGTTGGGGTTGGGTCTTGTGAGAAAATGATGGCCTCCAGGAGGGCTCACATCAATGAGTACTTCCCAGAACTATTGCTGCTAGTGTCTTTTCCACACAGTAATCCATAGCTGCTCCCCGACTCCTTTGGAGGCTCTCCAAGACCAGCAGGTAGGTCTGGCCCAGGCTTCTATAAGGTCACTGCTTTTCCCCTAGATACTGTTCTCCGTGAGACCTTGTGTGTGCCCGCCAAGAGTAGAGTTTCTCTTCCCCCAGTCCTGTGCTCCTCAGGCTCCTCTCAGTGCCAGAGCCCAGGGTGGGCAGCCTGATGTGGGGCTCAGAGCTTTCACTCTTGTGGCAGCACCTCTGTGAGGTGATTATTCCCCAGTTTGTATGTTGCCCAACTGGCGCATATGGAATTTCATTTTATTGTGATTGCACCCCTTCTATATCTTGTGGCTTCTCCTTTGTCTTTGAATGTAGGATATCTGTTTTGGTAAGTTTCAATTTTTTTTTTTTTGTTGTTGGGGTGGTGGTTCACCAGTTAGTTATGACTTTGGTGTTTTCTTGATATGGTGCGAGCTCACATCCTTCTGCTCCACCATCTTGTGTCAGGGTCCTGCTTTATTTCAGAATTCATATTCAATTTTTTCATCTTTCATATATAATTTATGCTTAATAATTGAATATAGAATTAATAACTTGTGATTGGAAATGACCTTAGACTTTGCAGACTGATGCCAGTTTGAAGAATGTTTCCCACCTGCAGTAAGATAAGCATAGAAAGTGAAAGTACATGATTAAAAACTTTCATTGAAATCAGACATTTTCATGACATCCAAGTGCATGATTTTTTCCCAGAGATACCACTTTTCCACATTAGAAATATACACATTATTTTTTAACATAGATTTTCTGAGCATTGGTATAGACCAGTAATATTCACATAAAGATTTAAAGCATTTTAACACTTGAATCAAACCACACCTTATGTGGAAGTCCAGTCTATAAAATAAATGAAAGTAAAGTTCTTTTTAGAATTTGTCTGGGTCTAAAAAACCCCAGACTTGAACTGTGGCCCCCTCATTGCCACCAATAGGCCATCTAGTGCTTGTCAGAGCACAGTCTGAAACCCATTGCTTTATGGAGATCAACACATTTATTTTCTGTTACTAAAATTAGGAGTTAACATATATCCCATGACAGAGAAAAGGCAGTATTCGTAATGTATAAATATGTCTTATAAAAAAGACCCCAAACTAATTAGATTTAAAATCAACACCTAGAATTCAGAGTATTTGTTTCTGTGACTTTGTATCTGATATTGTTTTTTAAACTTTTGTTATCTTTGTCTGTGAGGTCTTACTACCTGTGGAAATGGCTTGTCCCACTGGCAGCCACAAACCTCTACCTCAGTTTCACTGTATTCTGTTGATTTTTGGAGGTGACTTCTAGTCCATGTAAAATAAGTTTTGTATTTCTATGTATATTTTTCAATTAGTATTAAAATACTATGTGTATTTTAGATACACATATCCTAAATACAACCTTCAAGTGGGATCAAAGTTCTCATAAAGTTACTCACAGAAAGATAATATTTTTACATGGATACCATAGATCTGGTTATTTCACTCACCTGTGTGAAATACTCTAGTGATTTCAAATTGCTGTTAAGATAAAGACCAATAATTAGAGAAGTGCAAATCAAAACTACGGTGAGGTATCACCTCACAGCAGTCAGAATGGCCATCATTAAAAAGTTTGTAAATGCCGGAGATGGTGTGCAGAAAAGGGAGCCCTCCTGCACTGTTGGTGGGCGTGTAAATTGGTGCAGCCACTATGGAAAAACAGTGTGGCAATTCCTCAGAAAACTAAAAAATAGAGTTGCTAAGTGACCCAGCAATTCCATTCCTGTGTATATATCCAGTCAGAACTCTAATTTGAAAATATACATGCTCCCTTACCTCTTTTGAACAGTCCCTCAGAGCCATCTGAGAAATCTTCAGTATGTCCACTGAATAAAAACACAGTTTGTAACTTTAGGTTATGCATATTTTTTAAGTGGACACTAATTTCTTGGTGAAGCAGAGAAGGATGTGGGTAGAGGGTCCAAGTCAGAATATAAACAGCAGCACTATTTATAGTAGTCAACACATGGAAGCAGCCTAAATGTTCATTGACAGATGAATGGATAAAGAAAATGTGGTATATATGTGCAATGGAATACGACTCAGTCATGAAAAGGAATGAAACAATGCCATTTGCAGCAGCATGGATGAACCTTGAGACTATCATACTTTAAATGAAGCAAGTCAGACAAATACCACAATGTTGGTTTTTTGTGGAATCTAAAATATGACTCAAAATTAACTTACTTGTGAAACAGAAACAGACTCACAGGTATAGAAAACAGACTTGTGGCTGCCAGGGTGGGGGGAGTACGGTAGGGATGGATCAGGGGTTTGGGATTAGCACGTGCAAGCTATTATATACAGAATAAAAAGCAGCAAGTTCCTACCGTGTGGTACAGGGAACTATATTCAATATCCTGTAATAACCATAATGGAAAAGAATATGAAAAAGAATGTGTATGTGTATGTAATCTGAGTCACCTTGCTGTATACCAGAAGCTAGCACAACATTGTAAATCAATTATAGTTCAATAAGATCAAATTTGTCCAATAACTATGCTTAGTCTTATTTCTGCTTACCTCTTTAGCTGGATATCCCACCAGTTTCCCCTGTGCTGCCTGCTCTTTATTTGGCTTTTGTCTGTTTAATTGGTTTTTGTTTTTTTAAATTACCTAGTTTTTTCTCATTTCAGGCTTCTTGTACATACTCTTTCATCCTATTCTAACACAGATCGAACCTTCTATTTCTTCAGGTCTTAGCTTAAACATCATCTTGGGGAAACTTGTCCAGTTCCTGCTTCACTAGCTTGTCTCTCCATAATGTATTCTCCTGTAGTTTCCTGTATTTTTTTTTTTTATGGCATTCACAGTTAAAATAATTTTTATGTGTAATTATTTATTTGTATGTTCTCCCTGCAGATTTTTACTTCCACTGTGTAGAAACTCTGCCTTGTTCATCACCCTATTCTCACTACCTAGCAGTATCCAGCATGTAGTAGATATTTGGTAAATAACTGTGGAAAAATTGTGGATATATGTGTAAAATCTGTATTTCTTTCTTTTTTTAGGTTAAAGAAAGACCTGATGTGGGAGTTTATATCAAGGATTTATCAGCTTATGTGGTCAATAATGCTGATGATATGGATAGAATTATGACACTGGGCCACAAGAATCGTAAGTGTAATGCTTAATTGTGATAAATAGTTACGTGTCGAGTAGTCTGGTTTAGAAGCCAAGTTGGTATGGCACTTTGTACCATAAAGATTGAATTTTTAAGTTTCTTGTAAACCATTTCTCTTTGATTATGAAAGCATATATGCTCTGATATAAAGCATATGAATGAAAGATATCACAGATTGCTTTCTATGCTGTCTAAAACTTTGTTGCTTATTGATAATGCTGTTATCTGAGACTCTTGTATCACTGTCTTTTGCTAGCTGTAATAATATTGGTAACATTTATTGAGTACTTACCATGTAGTAAGTGCTTATGCAAATGCTTTGTAAGAATGGTCTCTTTTAATCCTCAGAATGGACTTTATTAAGGTATTAAATTCTTATGTTATGGCTGAGAAAACTGACATTTAAAGTAAATTATCTAAGATCATATACTACTTAATAAGTGTCAGAGTGAGTATGTGAATCTACACTGTTAGTCAGCAGTAACCAGTCAGCCACAAAAAGGAACGAATGTGAGTCAGTTGAACTGAGGTGGATGAACCTAGAGCCTGTTATATAGAGTGAAGTAAGTCAGAGAGAGAGAAATATTGTATATTTACACACATATATAGAATCTAGAAAAATGGTACTGATGGACCTATTTGCAGGGCACCAGTAGAGACGTAGATGTAGAGAACAACAGACTTGTAGGCCACAGCAGGGGAACGCAAAGGTGGGACGTATTGTGAAAGCAGCATTGACATATGTATACTACTGTGTGTAAAATAGATAGCTGGTGGGAAGCTGCTGCATAATACAGGGAGCCCAGCCTGGTGCTCTGTGACAACCGAGAGGCAAGGAATCAGCAGGGGGAGATTGGGAGGGAGGCTCAAGAGGGAGATGATGCATACATATGGGCTTCCCTTGTGGCTCAGCTGGTGAAGAATCTGCCTGCAGTGCAGGAGACCTGGGTTTGATTCCTGGGTTGGGAAGATCACCTGGAGAAGGGAACTGGCTACTCACTCCAGTATTCTGGCCTGGAGAATTCCATGGACTGTATAGTCCATGGGGTTGGAAAGAGTTGGACATGACTGAGTGACTTGCACCTTACACTTCAATTCATATATATATATATGTGTGTGTGTACATGTGTGTGTATATATATATAGTCATGGCTGATTCATGTTGTAAGGCAGAAACCAACACAGCATTGTAAAGCAAGTATCCTCTAATTAAAAAATTAAAAATATATATTCAGCTTAAAAAAATACCCTGGCTCTATAGTGCCTTCCTTTTATTGCTAAGAAAGCAAACAAAGTGGCATTCTTTTTAGTAAGTTTCAAGTTTTTTATAAAGAATAAAAAACTTTTGCAATATTGCTGATCCCTCTCTCCAGCCCCTCCCGGGCTTAGTACTAATGATGTTGCTAACAGCAATTAGAAGTTTGAGGTGAAAGATAAGAACATAGAAAGTAAACTTTTTTTTTTCTAACATGAAACTTTGTATTTTGTATTGGGGTATAGCCAGTTAACAATGTTGTGGTAGTTTCAAGTGAACAGCAAAGGTACTCAGCCATAGATACACATGTATCCATTCTTCCTCAAACCCTCCTCCTATCTAGGCTGACACAAAACATTGAGCAGAGTCCCATGTGCTGTACAATAGGTCTTTGTTGGTTATCCATTTTAAATATAGCAGTATGTACATTACCTTCCCAAAGTCCCTAACTAAGTCCCCCACCACCTCCCCCCAACCATAAGTTCATTTTCTAAGACTCTGAGTCTGTTTCGTAAGTAAGTTCATTTGTATAATTTCTTTTTAGATTCTACATATAAGGGATGTCATATGATATTTCTCCTATGACTTACTTCACTCAGTATGACACTCTCAAGGTCTACCCAGATATCATTATTTCATTCTTTTTAATGGCTGAATAATATTCCATAGTATGCATGTACCACATCTTTATCCATTTCTCTGTCGATGGATGTTTAGGTTGCTTCCATGTCTTGGCTTTTGCATACATTGCTGCAGTGAACATTGCGGTGCATGTATCCTTTTGGATCATGTTTTTCTCTGGGTATATGCCCAGGAGTGGGATTGCAGGATCACATAGTAACTATTTTTAGTCTTTTAAGGAACCGTCATACTGTTCTCCATAGTGGCTATACCAATTTACATTCTCACCAACAGTGCAGGAGGGTTCCCTTCTCTCCACACCCTCTTTAGCATTTGTTGTTGGCGAATTTTTTGATGATAACCATTCTGACTGGTGTGAAGTGAAATCTCATTGTAGTTTTGACTTGTATTTCTCTAGTAACTAGCGACACTGAACATCTTTTCATGTGCCTATTGGCCATCTGTATGTCCTCTTTGGAGAAATCCCTATTCAGGTCTTCTGCTCATTTTTTGAGTGGGTTCTTTGTTTTGATGCTATTAAGCATCATAAGCTGTTTGTAAATTTTAGAGACTAATCCCTTATTGGTCACATCATTTGCAAATATTTTCTCCCAATCTGTGGGTTGTCTTTTCATTTTGTTTATTGTTTCCTTTGCTGTGCAAAAGCTTTTGAGTTTAAGTAGATCCCATTTGTTTATTTTTGCTTTTATTTCCATTATTCTAGAAGATGGATCAAAAAAGATGTTGCTGTGATTTATGTCCGAGAGTGTTCTGCCTATGTTTTCTTCTAGGAGTTTTTATAGTGTCCCTTTTAGCATTTCAGTCTTTAATCCATTTTGAGCTTATTTTTGTGTATGGAGTTAAGGAATGATGTAATTTCATTTTTTGACATGTGGCTGTCCAGTTTTCTCAGCACCATTTGTTGAAGAGACCAACTTCCAACATTGTGTGGTCTTGCCTCCTTTGTCATAGATTAATTGGTCATAGGTTCATGGGCTTATTTCTGGGTTTTCTGTCTTGTTCCGTTGATCTATATTTCTGTTTTTGTGCCAGTACCATACTGTTTTGATGATTGTGGCTTTGTAGTATAGTCTGAAGTCAGGGAGCCTGATTCCCCCAGCTCCATTTTTCTTTTTCAAGGTTCCTTTGGCTATTTGGGGTCTTTTGTATCTCCATACAAATTCTGAGATGATGATGATGTTGTTCTAGTTCTGTGAAAAAAATGTCATTGGTAATTTGATAGGGATTGCATTGAATCTGTAGATTGCCTTAGGTAGTATAGTCATTTTGACAATATTGATTCTTCCAGTCCATGAAAATGGTTTATCTTTCCTTCTGTTTATATCTTCTTTGATTTCTTTCATCGGCATCTTATAGTTTTCAGGGTACGTATCTTTTGTTTCCTTAGGTTTTATATTCCTTAGGTTTATTCCTGGGTATCTTATTCTTTTTGATACAGTGGTAAATGGAATTGCTTCTTGAATTTCTCTTTCTGATCTTTTGTTGTTAGTGTATAGAAATGCAATAGGTTTCTGTATATTAATTTTGTAACCTGCAACTTTACCACATTCATTGATGAGTTCTAGTAGTTTCTGCAAACAGTGATGGTTTAACTTATTCTTTTCCAATTTGGATTCCCTTTATTTCTTTTTCTTCTCTGATTGCTGTAGCTAGGACTTTCAAAACTTTGTTGAGTAAAAGTGGTGAGAGTGGACATCCTTGTTTTGTTTCTGATCTTAGAGGGAGTGCTTTCAGTTTTTCACCATTGAGTATGATGCTAGCTGTAGGCTTGTCATATATGGTCTTTTTTTATGTTGAGGTATATACCCTCTGTGCTCACTTTCTGGAGAGTTTTTATCATAAAAATGTGCTGAATTTTGTCAAAAGCTTTTTCTGCATCTATTGAGATGGTCATGTGGTTTTTATTCTTCAGTTTGTTGAGATGGTATATTACAGTGATGGATTTGTGGATGTCAAAATCCTTGCATCCCTGTGATGAATCCCACTTGATCATGGTGTATGATCTTTTTGATGTATTGTTGGATATAAATTGCTAGTATTTTGTTGAGGATTTTTACATCTATGTTCATCAGTGGTGTTGGCCTATGATTTTCTTTTTTTGTGGTATTTTTGTCTGGTTTTGATATCAGGGTGATGGTGGCCTCATAAAATGAGTTTGGAAGTTTTCCTTCCTATGCAACTTTTTGAAACAGTTTCAGAAGGATAGGTATTAACTCTTCTTTAAATGTTTGATAAAATTTGTCTGTGAAGCCATCAGGTCTTGGACTTTTGTTTATTGGGAGATATTTAATCACAGTTTCAGTGCTTGGGATTGATCTGTTCATACTTTCTTGTTTCTTCCTGGTTCAGTCTGGGGAGACTGTACCTTTCTAAGACTTTGTCCATTTCTTCCAGGTTGTTTGTCCGTTTTATTGGCATACAGTTGTTCATAGTAGTCTCTTAAAATCCTTGGTATTTCTGTGGAGTCAGTTATAACTTCTACTTTTCCATTTCAAATTTTACTGATTTGAGTCCTCTCCCTTTTTTTCTTGATGAGTCTGGCTAAAGGTTTATGGATTTTGTTTATCTTTTCAAAGTATAAGCTTTTAGTTTCATTGATCTTTATGATTTTCTCTTTGTCTCTATTTCTTCTCTGATCTTTATGATTTCCTTCCTTCTACTAACTACAGGTTTTGTTCATTCTTCTTTCTCTAGTTGTTTACATGTAAAGTTTGGTTGTTTATTTGAGATTTTTCTTGTTTCTTGAGATAGGATTGTATTGCTGTCAACTTCCCTCTTAGAACTGCTTTTGCTGCATCCCATTATTTTTTTGACCGTTGTGCTTTCATTTTCGTTTGTCTCTAATTATTTTTTTTTCTTCTTTGCTTTTTTCAGTGACCCAGTGATTGTTTAGTAGAATATTATTTAGCTAAACACACGTTTGTGTTTCTTAGAGTTTTTTTCTTGTAGTTTATTTCTAATCTTACAACATTGTGATAAGAAAAGATGCTTGATACGATTTTCTTAAATTTGCTGAAGCTCGCCTTGTGGCCCAGCATGTGGTCAGTCCTGGAGAATGTTCTGCATGCCCTTTTGAATGGAATATTTAGATATCAA